GTACTACAAATTAATTAATTTTTTAAAAAGTACAGTCTGAAGTTGGGTGTTGTAGAACAGAATGTTTGACTGCTTGTTTGTGTTGCAGAATAACTATGTAAAGATGTGTTGCTATTTCACCTTGCCTGCATAAGGCACCTGATTTGTCTAATAAAAAGCTGAATGGCCAATAGGTAGGCAGAAGAAGGATAGGCGGGGCTGGTGGGCAGAGAGAAAGGGGGAGCTGGTTAGCTAGCAGGGGACCAGCAAGCAAGACATCAAGGAAGCAGGAAAGCAGGAGGAAGGAGAAAAGCAGGATGGACAGTATGTAGATGAGGTAAATGAGCCTTGGGGCAGCATATAGATTAATACAGTGGGTTAATTTAAATTTTAAAAAAACTGGCTAAAAACAAGCCTAAGCTAAGGCAGAGCAGTCATAATTAATAGTAAGTCTCTGTATCATGATTTGGGGGCTGGTGGTCCAAGAAAGCCTGCTACAACTGGATATGGTGGAGCATGCCTTTAATCTTAGCACCAGGGAAGCAGGTGAATCTCTGTAAATTCAAGGCTAGTCTACTTAACTGGGTTCCAGGACAGTGAGGGCTATATAGTGAGACCTTATCTCAAAACAAAACAGCCTACAAAGCTGGATTGGAGATACATACTGATGTCATTCAGCATGATGATGCTGTGGGGCAAGGAGAGGACAGGTTGAGGGAGAGAGCATTCATACATACACAGACACACATAGACACACACACACACACACACACACCAGTGCAGCAAAGCCAGAGGTGCACACAAATGCAGTGAGCACTCAGGATCCCCTGAGAAGCCAGAGGTCACATGAGTAATGTCTACAGATATTCATGAATGCATAAACCACACAATATAAAGATAGATACATAGGCCAAGGAAAAACAACAGGTACAGTACCCCACTGTTGATACAAACGTAAACTATTTTTATATTCCTGTTTAATTTGTATATTGATACAAATACAGAACTATATTTGTTATAATGTACATATATTTCTACTCTTATTTGAAATATTTGTATATTGATACAAATGTAAATTTATATCTGTCATACTGTATGTATGTTCTACTTCTGTTTAGGATATTCTGTATATTGATATATATTTAAGATTATTGTCATATTGCGTATCGCACTATACATTCCTACCTGTTATAAATATCTTGTGTATTGTCACAATTTTGAAGTCATCATCCTTTACCGTACATTTGCTTATAGACTGTTTACCTTGTTTACATGAAGCCTTAGTCCTTAGGTTATTTAGGTAGATAAGACTTATAGATTTATAGTCACCTATGCTTGTCATCTCTATAGTTATGTTAGTTAGGTTATCCAGATATACAGATACATAGGTCGGATGGACAGGTAATCTTCAAACACTTCACAGACTTAGAGAATATGGCATTTAAATAACTTAGAATTCTGTTGACGTGAGACACAATTGCTCCTGGCAGCACCAATTTGATCCCGAAAGAACATTGGGCTTCTAAGACATTTCCATTTGGAAGTTGTCTTCTTGGCACAAAATGGCCTATTGGGCAAAGAACTGCCCTTGACTCAACTGCTGACAATATGAGTGCTGTCCTTCTGGACAAGCGTGACACAAGGAAAAGTGACTTCTGAACTCTGCCAAGACAGAGTAAGATGGTCTTTCAGAATTCCTGCTTCTGAAAATGGTGTGTCAGATACTCTAGGCCTGTAGCCAATTTGAATGTACCAACAATGCTGAGAAACATTAGGTGACTATCCAGGCTGCCAGCTGTCTCTGTCTACTCTTGCAAGATTCCCGAAAGTTGCTTGCATCCATCTTCCATTTCTCAGGTACCATTACATTATTCCTTCTCAGGTCTTTGATGGGATTGAAGACTAGCAGTTATAGTTACAACTTTATATATATATATATATAAAATATCTTAGATAGAACATATTAAGTATTAGATTCAGATTCTTTAGGATAGGACACCTTTTGGAATGATCTTTGTAACATCCCATTTACCTACGCTCTAGACTTCTCTGGATTTTAGTATGTGTTTCTTGTTTGATATTGTTCGCATTGGTTGTAGTTCCATCTTATCTAGGTCATTATCCCTCATTACTCCTGGACAATATTTGATAACCATTCCTTTGTATATAGTCTTGTATTAGGTTAGAACCTTCTTATTTAGACAAAAGGGGGAGATGTAGTGGGTAGACATTCCAGCTTTGATCTAGAAGTTCCAACCCCCATTGAGGCTTCGGTAACTGTCACACCTACAAGGCGGGCCGAGAGAGGACTCTGAAGACCCGAGATCCGGATGCGCCGGCTCTCTTGGTTCCTGGACCCTGGACACTGGAGGTAGACCAAGCAGAGTTCTCCAGAGAACACCACCGGACTGTGCCACACCTTTCCCAGACCCTGTTACCTATCCCTTCACTTGTGAGTTACCCCACAAAATAAACCTCCCTTTTAACTATGTGGAGTGGCCTTAATAATTTCACCAATACCCCACTATACACGAAAGCCAGAGAGAGCCACGTGATCTAGATAAGGCATACAGCCCCATTCATATACCACCCATATCCACAGACACATGCAACAGACATCCAAACATACACACCTGCTGAAAAGACTGGGCATTGATTGTCTTTTGCTATTTGCCTGGAGCTCAGTTCCCACCTGAACCCATAGGACAAATGGACATGAAGTCCCCTGTGGAGATAGCTTGTAGGTATCAGGATGCACAATGGCACTCTGGAGCAGGAAATTCTACACAGGAGGACCCTAGAGATCTGTCAATGCAAGTCAGGTCTAATATACCTGCACACGCTAGGGCCTGTCTGTGCAGGTCTAGGCTCTATGTACAGGCTCCAAAGCCCTCCTGGATCTGTTGCTCAGATGAGAACCCTACAGCCAGCCATACTGTGGACCAGTTGGTTCCCTTCCTGCCACCATCTGTCACTCCAATGCAGCTGCCACAGGGGACTAAGCTACAAGCATCTGGCAAGTTAATTGTAGGCTTTTTAAGAAAACATTAAAAAAGCAAGGTCTGGGGAGAATGCTTGCATGATGATTGTGGACTTAGAAGCACAAAAGTAGCCTGGTAGCTCAGAGTAGTGATGCCCCAGATACTCCAGGGATCTCAGGTCTGTCTGTTTTACCACAAGCAGTCCAGAGATTACCTGTTTTCTAACTTGGATTAGTTGTAGAACCTCTGCCTAATACTTTAGTGTAACACAGGGCCACAGGAGTCTGCTCCAAGACGTAGTAGTCTTCCTACCCATGGGATGCTTCGGACCTCTGGAAATTTAGATGACAGAGATGGGACTCGAATTTATCCCTCTGCCCAGGTGCTGGCCCAGATATGGATAGCTTGACTCCAGTTCTGGCTGTTTCAGCTCCCAGTTTCTAGTACTGCCAGCAGGATCTGCTGTGGCTACTAGAGCCCTCTACAAAGTAGGCTTTGGTCTGAGTTCTTAGCAGCTTACTCCTTAGTGTCCAACACAGCCCTGGGCACAGTGCCATTCTCAGGAGCATCAGGTCATTGTATAGGGGAGGGTAACAGAGAAGGCAGGACCATCATACCTGGGCATCTACAGCCACTCTCAAGGGCTGCTCTTCTCAGTGCTCAGATGTTAACAAGGCTGCCCAAGGTTACACCCTGCAAAGAAGGGTTTAAGTCTCCCTATAAAATGTCCCCTTAGGTACCACAGACCCTGAGATCAAAGGCTCAAATACTGGACTTTTTCAGCCAAACCCAAGCTGAAAATGGAGCAAGTCTGATGAGCCTTGGCCTTCTCTATCCTCAGGTACACATGGAAGAGGTGGGGTTAGGAGAGTGACAGTGCAGATAGAGAAGACATTATGCCCCTCCTCCAGCCAAGGCAGGTACTCCACCCTTGCTCTGGCCTCTGAGAGGTCCACTGAGCTGCTGACCCATCCCAATTCCCTCCTCACTTTCTTTCCAGTCCCGGGAATCCCAGTGTAGATACCAGGGTGGAAGGAGCTGCTCCTGTAGGCCCCACAGGGTAACTAATGGGTTAATTACACACCCCATAAAAAGCCACTGTGATTTAGAGAGTGAGCCAGGCAGCCCACTGGCAGTAAATCAGGGCTGCAGGGATGAGGCAGGTGGAGTCCCAGCCCCAGCCCTCCAATGAGCCAAAACGGCAGTAAATCTGTAGAAATGGCTTTTATGAAGCTCTGGGTTTTATGATGTCATTAATGTTTCTCCTGATACTTAAAGAAAAATGAAGTAAGTCACGAGGAGGTGCCAGGGCTGCTCTGGTTGGTGCGAGGCCACTCCACAAACTCAGGTAGATGAGGGAATTGCCCGCACCTGAGGTCATGCCCCTAATAGATTTCAACAAGTGGGGGTCAAGTCCCCCCAGTTGACTTGGGTATACCTGCCCACCCAGGGATTTACACAGCATGAGTTTACTGAATGCCATCCTGCCGCAATGGGGCTCTCCATGGGCCAAGAGCCCACCATTTGGGCACACATTCATCCCCACAATCTCTCCACACAGGAGTAGCTCTGGACTTCTCAGTGTCCAGTCGAAGGCCAAGCCCCTTCAGCAGATAGATCGGGCTAGGTGCTGGAGTATGGCTGCTCACACCACAGGCATCTTTGACACCAAAGACTCCAGTTCCCTAACCAGACCCCAGAGGCAGCAGCCTGCTCAACTCATTAGCAGCAGCCTGGCTCCCTACTTCCTGGCACCCTGCTCACCTACACAGGGACCCACCTCAGATTCCTGGCCAAAGTCCTGGAGACCCTGTCTTATGTGTGTCACTGAGCATCAAACTCCCCATGAATCGCAGCCCAGCAGCAAGTCCACCCTGTGCCTGCCCAGCTGTGTTGAGGTCAGAACCAACCAGGATTCTGCAGGGGAAGATTCCAGGGTGTTGGGGCCCTCTAGGCACTGGAGCTGTGAGGCAGCTGAGGCTGAGGGACGGCCCTGAGGCAAGGACAAAGACAGCAGGGAAGGAGGGGCTGGAGACTTACTGAGTAGCCTCTCCCGGAAACCGCCTGTGCAGAGCTCTGTGGGAAAAAGTAGGAAGACAGTCAGTGACAGGCTAGGTCACAGCCAACTGCCCCCAGCAGACAGGCCAGCAGACCCTAGGGGCAGTAGGCCCTCACTGGAAAGGGGAGAACAGGGCTGAGCATAGTTTCTGCACCAGAGAGCTTCTGGAGCCTTCTTTGAAGCAGTGGTCTCCCTTCTGGGTTAGCCAGGCCAGCAGTTACTGCAACAGCTCTGGGCTAGCCCAGGAGATGGGTCCGACCTAATAGAGGTGGCCCCACAGAGATGCTCTTAAACTATCCACAGCTCATTCAGGACTAGGATGCTAAAGCTGTTCCCCAAAGTGCAGCAGGAAGACCCTTCTGGAGGAGGGTGATAGCATGGGCCCCACAGGCCAGGTGGCTTGAGGGTTAGGGTTAGCCAACAACCATGGTGGAGATTGGCATGAGAACCCAGGAGCACTGGAACGGTTCTTTCCATCTGGCTTAAGAACCACCAGAACAAAGCCAGCTGCATCTCAAGTTGCCAGGGATTCCACAGCCCCAAAGATGGGCCGTGTACCAGGTTCAGCCACGTGTGTGTGCACATGCAGCAGAAGCTGTGGCAGGAAGGGGTGCAAACAGAGTGCGAGTGTACAGCAAAGCGCACAGTGGGGGCTGCATGGCAGGGGGACCACGTGAGGACTTAGGACAATAAGATGGGGAACAGAGAGTGGAGGGCACAAAGGAGAGTCAGCCAAGGGAAATGGAAGCTAGCAGGCCAAGCTGCAATCCTCCCTTCGTTCAGAGCAATCCCTGACATCCTTTCCTACAGACTACTGACAGGGCTAGGCCTAGGGTCACTGCTTGGAGGGTGGAGCTCACCCAATCCTACCCCTGGTTGGATCCCACCTGCCAGCCACAGGCAGCTGATGGGGTGGGGGTGGGGCATAATTGGTGAGTTCTCAGCTTCATGTCGAGCTGTGTTCAGAATGCAGCTTCATTCATCCTGGGCTGCAATTAGAGTGCTAACTAGGGCAGCCCTGCGGCCCCAGACAATTACCAGCCTATTTTCCCATCTTGCGGCAACAAGATCAGGAGCCTGGCAATTATGCCTCCCTCTGCGGCAGCAGGCTGCACCCCCAATCCCCTATTTAAATGATAATGAGACACGACTCATTCAATTTAGTCCTTCAAAAAAATGTACCACCCTGAGGCCACTTCAGGAGCTGGGCAGGGTTGGTGTCAGCGGCCATCTCCTCAGTCACCAACTCAGTGGGTAGCCCCTATGCCTCATTTTGACTCACCCACTAGGCCAGCCCTGTGACAGGCTCCAGACCCCTCCCACCTGGCTTTGTGGCTGACTATCTCAGAAACCTGGTACCCAGGGGCCTTTCTCAGGGACACTGATATATCCCCAATTCAGATCACTGCATGTGCACCCCTACCCTGCACCACCAGCCCCAGGTACCTCAGGACCCATGCCAAGATGTGCAGCTGTCCACTCTGCTTTGGGCAAGGTTAGCCCGTTTCAAACATGGCCTAACATCTATGGATTCAGAGACATTTGTGGAGTCATTTCTACCCAGACATCACTGCAGGATGCAGGTATAGCATCTGCTCTAGGGCACAAGGAAGCCCACCTTAGGGCTCCAGGGCCAGTTCTCAGGCTGCTACAATATGCGCTATGAGATACTTAATATTCCAGATGGGTTCCTGCCAGCGCCTAACTGCTGTCCTTCATTTAAAACCCTCCTACTGGTGAGGTCCTAATTTGTGAAAAACAGCTTTGGAGAAGGCAAACTGCTAATTGCTCATGAGCAGCCTCCATGTAAACTGCCAGGCCTGGTCAAAGCCCTGCGACTCCTGCAGGAGGTCACCAGGATGTCATCGATGGGTACTCACGTCGCTCAGCTGGTCCCGGGAGCTGCTATGCTGAGAGCTGGAAGCTTCAAGGACGCTGTCGTCGTCACTGTTCCGGTCACCCCCTCTGGCCATGGTGACCTTCATCTGGGGATAGAGAGAAAAAGTCTCAGGCAAATGTGCACTGACCAGTGAGACTTTATGACAGATACCCTCCCCACAAAAGCCACTGGAAGCCGGGCGGTGGTGGCGCATGCCTTTAATCCCAGCACTCGGGAGGCAGAGGCAGGCGGATCTCTGTGAGTTCGAGGCCAGCCTGGGCTACCAAGTGAGTTCCAGGAAAGGCGCAAAGCTACACAGAGAAACCCTGTCTCGAAAAACGAGAAGAAAAAAAAAAAAAAAAAAAGCCACTGGAACTAGGATCACTCCAGGGCTGAAGTGCCAAGTGGGGCAGGAATACATTTCCCCTTAACTTGAGGACACGGGTCTGTTGGGAGAGACAACAGAAAGAACAGAGGGATTCAGGGCCAGAAAGCCACCTGGCTGACTGCTTGCAAATTCATCACTAGACAGGACAGGAAAGGAATGCCCCAAGAAGCCACACCATCACCAGCTCTGTTCTCAATTCTTCCAGTCACTGACTTTGAGGATGCCCCAGGGAACGGAGAGGCTACTAACCTGGCCTGCTCTCCCTGCCCAGAGCCTGATCTCCTGCTGAGGCCATGCCTGGGCTGGGCCGCCCTTCCTGACCACGTCGAGACATCACACCCAGGCACCCACAGTGCCTCCTTCAGTAAGCACAGCAGCTCCTCAGGTATGTGACCTTGAGCCACTTCTTGAGCTCCTGGCCTCGGTTTGCCATTCGCAAGAAAGAGCTGCTGTTGGCACACAAACATCCCAGGACCAGCTGACACTGGCTCTCCTCAGTGCTTTGCACATTCTGAGACTGTTGGCTGTTTGGAACAGCCCTTAGGACAACCCATTTCACTCTCAGCTCAGGAAAAGCAAACAGGCCCAGGCATATCACTGGCCTTGGCATTAGACACCAGTACCAGCAGGAACACTCAGCTACATAGCGAGGCTCATCACATCATGGGACTACTTGCAAAGGCCACCTTCTGGCCCCAGACAGGAACACAATTGTCCAGGCATGATGAGCTCACACTTCTGCCTGGTATAGGTCTGTGGCCTGTTTAACAGGGAACATTCCCACATCTTGCAATGGATGAGCTTGGTCTTCTCATGAACAAACTGGGTGCAGTGTTCAGCCAGCATGGGATGCTGAGGGGCTATGTGAATGCACATGAACATTTGTCCTCTTCTACCTGCCCTGGTCTCATGTCCCAGAGTCACTGGTTAAAGTCCTTAGAATTCAGCTAGTCATTTCACCATAAACCAGCCCTGGATCCAGTTTAGGGCCTGGAACTGGCTTCAGCCTCCAAATCTGCCAACTTACCACCAGCCCCAGACTTCCAGAAATCAACACCCCCCGCTTCCCTCAGAGCTAACAGAGCTAACAGAGTACCAAGGCCAAGACAATGACTGGATGTTAGTTCATATCCAGGTGGCTAAATGGGGGCCCTACACCCAGACGAATGTGTAAGGCCCCAGAGAAGTGAAGGCCTGTGTCTTTAGGGCAGGGTCTAGGTAGGGTGCAGATGAATCAGGCTAGCCCAGGAGCTGAAGGTGATCACAGTCACTGGCTGACTGCTATCAAGGCATTCTCTCTTCTGACCTACAGTGGACAGAGACTCACTGCCAACTCAGAGGGCTGAAATACATGCCTATGTAGTTGAACTATGAGTACACAGGGCATGCTTTCTGCTTGACACACAGAAGTCATCTCTTCTGGGCCAGACACTGGAGTCCGACCCTATGATTCCACGATAGAACCCTGTAGGTGGGCTGGGCTGGTGTCTGTCATCCTTTCTTAAATAGCTGTCTTCAGGGTTGAAAGCCCCATTTCCTGCAGTTTTGTAGAGCTGACTAAGTCCTATATTCTGGAAACCACTGCAGTCACAGACACATGGGACAGTTGTCACCTACTTCTGTAACCAAGTGGATCCAAAACAGCCCAACCTGCTTGCCCTTTGGTCTTTCCTGCTTCTTACCCACTTTGAGAAAGTTTCCTATTAGCTATGCCAGAGGCTGAGATATGCCAAGCTTCCATCTCCATCTTTGTGTGGAAGGATGAGATCAGTATACCTGGACCTCTGTGCCTACCTGGAGCCAGAAGGTAGCCTGCTTGCTCCAGGTGGTCAGATGAGAGTATCTGTACTTACACTCACCTTTGGACTTTGTAGACAAGCCACCAGTCCATCCACTTATCCACTAGTTCACTCATCCACCTAAGTAGCCAGCCACAATCATCCATCCCTCAATCTGTCCAACTATTCAGCTAATCAGCCAGCTAGCCAACCAACAAACCAATTAGACAGTCAACCAACCAATAAGCCAGCATTAATCAAGGCTGGCCCTGGGTGAGTTCTTTTTTTTTTTTTTTTTTTTAAAGATTTATTTATTTATTATGTATACAGTGTTCTGTCTGCACATATCCCTGCAGGCCAGAAGAGGGCGCCAGATCTCATTACAGATGGTTGTGAGCCACCATGTGGTTGCTGGGAATTGAACTCAGGACCTTTGGAAGAGCAAGCAGTGCTCTTAACCTCTGAGCCATCTCTCCAGCCCCCTGGGTGAGTTCTTAAACATTGGGCTCATTTGAACAACGGACATGCAGACACATACCCCCTCCTCTCACGGAGCCTTCAAAATCACGTGGCTCCCAATAATTGTAAGAAAAAACAGCCTGAAGACAGCAGCAGGTGCTAAGGAGGCAAACTGCAGAGAAGGTGGGAGACCTTCCAGAGAGGGCTGTTCTATGCCACAGGCAGGCAGGCAGGCCCACTGCCTGTGCTGGGCAGTGCTTCATTTGTTCTGTGACACAACCACTTTGGCCAGAGTTGGGCTAGTTTGTATGCTCCAGTTTGGGAGGCTCCAGACAAGCAACAAACATCAAAGCTGGTCCAATCATTTAAAGTTTGCTCCTGCAACATGTCCGGGTGACTATGGCCTGCAGGCTCCTGTATAACCTCAGCAGCCCAAGAGGTCTACAGGGAATGGATGAAGGCCAAGCCCCAAGTAGAACCACAATTACTATACTTTCTCACACAGCTCCCTTATATAGCCACAGGCTGATACTTCTGATCAGCTGGGTGTGGAGCAGGAACTCTCTCAATATGAAGTCTATGCAACTGCACAGTCACCCCAGGTGGGCACAGCCACATTCAGTCTCTATCTCTTCCTTATGGCCCCTTGTGGGTTTCTGAGGTCACCTCTGAGACCACAATTCTTTTATCAGTCTTGTGGGCTGAGGTGGGCCCCATGTCTGGTCTTTCATCCAGCCTCATATAGGAACTTAATGTATACATTATCTTGTGTATGTATGTGTGTGTATGCATGGTACAGTGCACATGTAGAAGTGAGAGGACAACTTGTGGGGATCACTTCTTTTCTTTCACCAAGTGGGTCCGGGAAATTTGAACACAGGTTGTCAGGCTTTTATTTTGTTTATAGGTGTTTTGCCTGCATATATGTCTGTGTACCATGTGTATGAGTGCCCACAGAGACCAGAAGAGGTCATCAGATCGGGAAATGGAATCACAGATTTTGGGAACAACCATCTGAGTACTGGGAATTAAATCCAGGTCCTCTGGAAGAGCATCCACCATCCACCGCTCTTACCACTGAGCCACCTCTCTTGTCTCAGGTTTTAATTGTTTTTAACCATGTACTTGCCAGACAGTAACATGAGCCCAAGGCATCTCTGGACAGCACCTGAGGGCTCACAGGCCTGGTGTCACTGGCAGCTCCAAGAAGTAGGTTTAGAAGCTAAACTGGCAGCCTTGGGGCTAGAACTTTCATGGAGTTTAGTCTTGGAGGGATTCAGCCCTTGGCTCTGGGCTGTGCAGGTCTGTGGAGGAGTTGCAAGGAGAAAGAAGGCTCCCAGCCAAGGGAGAAAGAAAGTACCAGGAAAAGACAACGAGGGAGGTGGGGCAACGATTAGGGATCCAGATATATGGAGTTCACAAGATCTCAGAGAAATGCCAATACTGTCCTACTGGGCTCCCAATGTGGAGGTATTGTGTTCCCCAAAATATTGTGCACCCTAATAAACTTATCTGGGGGTCAGAGAACAGAACAGCCACTAGATATAGAGGCCAGAAAATGGTGGCACATACGCCTTTAATCCTATCACTTGGGAGGCAGAGATCTATCCGGATCTCTGTGAGTTTAAAGCCACACTGGAAACAGTGACTCACGCCTTTAATCCCAGGAAGTGAGCCTTTAATCCCAGGAAGTGACAGCAGAAAGCAGAAAGGTATATAAGGTGTGAGGATCAGGAACTAGGGCTGGTTAAGCTTTCAGGCTTTCGAGAAGCAGTTCAGCTGAGATTCATTCAGATGAAGACTCAGAGGCTTCCAGTCTGAGGAAACAGGATCAGCTGAGGAACTGGCAAGGTGAGGTGGCTGTGGCATGTTCTGCTTCTCTGATCTTCCAGCATTCACCCCCATGCCTGGCTCCAGGTTTGATTTTATTAATAAGACTATTTAAGATTCATGCTATATCCCAAGCCTATAATGCTAATTTGTATCCTCTCTGCACTGACCTTGCAGCCCAGCATGTCCCAAGGTCCATAAAGTGGGTGGGACAGACTATAAGCCAGGTTGCTTCCCACCACCCAGCAGCCTCTGTCAGTATGTGCTAGTGAAACACTCCCTACTTCGTTGTGAGTGTGAGCCCTGGCAGGACATGGAACATTAAAAACCACAAGAAGCTGAAGGAACTTGCACCCAGACCTGTTCAAAGCTATTTATGTGAACATGCCACTGACTGGGCAGAGAAACTGAGGCACAGTGCAATGTATGGACTTCTGCAGGTACCACATGTGATAAATGAGAGCTTGCGTGGTACACTCCTCAGGTACCAGTGCCTGCCAAATGCTGGAATACACATGGTCACTGATACCCAAGCAGGGCTACAGTTGATACTCCTTGGGCAGACAGAAGGGCATGGTGGAAGGAACGCTGACTCACTCCAATTAGCAAGACCAAAGCAAAGCCAGTGTTGTGTGGCAAGCCAGCTTTACA